ATTACACCTTATTCATGACATAATGCACTTTGTTCCCCCTTACCTAACCTTAATTATAAGAAAGAACTGAAGTATCTCTGTTTTAAACAACAATTCTAAGTGGAGTAAAACATTCTGGTGCTCATAAAGCTGCCATGGCTCACATGTGTAGTGGACTCCCATGTATTTGGACACTGAAGATATAGTAAAACATGCCCACACACATGCAAACGTGCGCACAAAAACACAAACACACTCAAAGGTCAGTTGCTAAGGTCAACCCTCCAGTCTCATTCCACTGGGGTACATTGATCTGGCTCACTATGTTCCACAGCACGCTACTGGGGAACACTATGTTCAGCTCCTCAAAGACAGGACTAGTACATTTCAGTCCCATATGGACCAACCCTATAATTTTGTTTAGAGTAAGCACTTTGTGTGTTTCGCTGCGTGTTTCTGTGTGACTGTCTACCTGCGTCTACATCATCAGGAGAGGGAGAGCCCAAAGTTGGCTTAAACGTCACATCAGCAACTTTTCTGACGATTTCCATGTCTCAAATTTACAACTTCACTCATCCCCTAATGTTTTTATGGTATTTTGATTGGATCAGATTGCTCATTTTAGGACATTTTAATGTGGGTATTGTCAATAAGAGTGGTTTTGGAATGATTTTCTGCTTTCACAATCATTTTCATTCACTTAGATATTTGCGTTTAAATGCAATAAGACAGTCAGTCAAACTCATTTCCAGAGTGTTTGACCTCCAGAACTTTTAACCCCGTCTGTCCATCCATCTGTCATTTGTGTTTCTGCTCCCTTAACTGGTCTTTTCTATGAAGGCCATTATCTTCACACTGTCATAATTTTCCCTTTTCTGCTTACTTGTGTTAGTTTTACTGCTCAGAACTACTGGCTGCTCTTTTGGAATTATTTTCATTTGGGCATTCCCTGAATTTTCTCAATATGCCTATTATTCTTTGTACATAAGCCTATAGTTATATCATGCTGTGATAGGATTCGCACTTTATGACCCTAAAAATTAATGTCTGTCCATTTTACTAAGCCAACGCATACATGTACATTCTGTGAGGATCAGACAGCCGGCCACTAACTTGTTGTGTACAAGCAGGAAGCATGTATTTATGGCTTTATGCACCATTTATTCTTATGTTGCTGAACTCTCTCTCAGCTGTGCTTTAAATGTGGGAGCATTCACCGATCCTCCCCTTCACTTTCCTCTGGGCAATTAAGATTTGGTGGGGGGAGGGGGGGGGGGGGTGAAATGATCATTGACCAGGCTTTTTATTGCAGGAACATTATTTTTCATTAATGATTTCTGTGCTTGAAATTGTGAATAAAAGTCTGTCTCCGACGCACATAAAGAAACAGACAAAGGAATGCACTTCACTTTCGTGCAGACATGCTTTCGCCTTCCACATAACTGCCTTGTAGAGATCTGTTGTTACTTTCTTGCATTTGTAAAGATCCCTATCACTGCTGCCCATCTTGCATTCTCTCTCAGACACACAAACCCACACATACAAATACTCAAAGAATCAACACCATCTTTAGACATCAAACGGAACTCGTGCACAAAGCCAATATGAGACTTGTTTACTAGATCAGAAGGAGATGAAGTGCTTGCCACTTCCCCAAAACCCAATGCAAAAAAACATTACAAGTATTCAGCATTATCCAGTTTCAGGGAGGCCTTTAGCTGTCTAGCTGGACTCTGACAAAGAACTCTGCACCAAGAATATGAAAACATGAATGAATAAATCCTTGGTGGTTCAGGGTAAAGTGAGCATATATAAATCATTCTAATAGGGTTCTGTTTTAGAAGAAAGCCATTACACTTGTCTTAACATACAGCCAATCATTTAGCATAAAAGTTTAGTTATTTACCCATAAAAAGAACACAAAAAACATTCTTAACTCTGCCATGCAAATACATATGATTAACAAATGAGCAACAAGTAGGAACATTTATTTTGTTTTGACACTTTCCTGTCTGGGAATTGAGGCAGAAAAGGAAATCTGAATCCCAGCTTTAGTCCTCATATGTTATACCTCACCAATAAATCATTAATAACAGTCATCTCATAGTTGCCAAGCAAAATGGCACTATTATGAAAAACAGCTGTCAAAATCCCTGTCAAAGACAATGAGTTTCTGCATTAGCTGAGCAACGTTGTTTTAAGCTGACGTTCTATTGGAAAAGTACCCCAAAATCTCAGCAAATTTGGATTTCACCATTGTTTTGCCCAGAGTCAGCTGTGGCTTTCTCGGGTGTTATCAAAATTAATCCCAGTTGACATTCACATCCACAAACAAATATTCAAAGTCACCCCCCCAAAAAGAAAGCAACAAACACAACCACAAAAGGAAAAAAACTCAAACAAAGAACACTAGAGATGATATCCAGATGCCTGAACAATGGCTCCTCGTTGCGTACTTCCTGGTTGGCATCAAAATACTCAATGACTGCATATTATCGACAGTTCCTTCTAAATAGCTTAAAAAAACATTAAGTTACATATCATTACTTATCATTTGTAGGATGAGTATCCACAAGGTTTGACATATCTACAAATAATTTGAATGGCAATCTTTCAAAGTTCAGCAATCAAGTGGGTATAAGGTCATGCTCCCATCAATGTGTGTGCAGCAACTGTGTGCACACAAACAACCAAAATATGTATGATTTGTGTTTGTGTGTGCGCATATGCCCAAAAGGAGTTATAGACATGGACAATTTATGTTGAAAGAACTAAGTATTTACACACATGACCTAGTACTGCACAAAATACTGCACACCGTATGAATATTATATACTGCCAAAGCTATGCTATTGAAAATACATGTTCATACATTTTATTTAAAATGAACCTGTCCATAAAAATCCAAGCTGTGATGCAGTAATGTTGGCACACACAAGTGGATACAAATGAGAAAGATCGATGATATTCTCGAAGAGCTCTGGGTAAAGATTTGCTCTGGCCTTCGTTAAATTTAGACTGACATTCTAGCACTTTCGACCAAAACAGAGTTTAGTAGTGTAACAATCATGACTTTAAGAAAGGCAAATCTATTGCAAAACACTGTCCATAACTTATGTTTATTTTTTAATTTGTTGCTTGGATCTGAAGGAAAAGAATGGATCTAATTTACAATGTCAGCTTGTCTTTTTTCAAACATGTCCATAAAAGCTTTTCGGCCCATTACTGACTGGACAGATGACAGAATATGTGAGAATGTAAGAGAGTGAAGGTTACACAGAGATAGCTTAGAGGTTAATGATAGGAGTGTTGTATTTTTTAACCTGTGTTTGCATATTTTCCACACATGCATAAGCACTTGTGTTTCAGTGGCCTTGTAATGAGGTGATCTCATCACATATGACCCTTGGGGAACAGAGTGTTCTCCACGGTAAAAGGGATTTTTGTACGAACGGTGTGTCCTTCACAAGAGAAATCATTTCTTTATGGTTGTATGGACCCGTTCCACCGGTGTCTCACGCTCCTCAGAAAGTAAAACATCTGCAATATGGTTAGCTGGAACACACAACCTTTTTTTCTCAAGCAGAAGTGGTGCCACATAGATATCAAATGCCTTAAATGGTGTCAGCTAATGTCCTACCACTGTTTGAGATTTGAGGTTGTACAAGAGTAACAAACTCACTGGCCTCGTAAAACGCATCATCACAAGCTGTATAAAAACACACACTATTAACATCACATGCACCTCAGACAAAACACCACTGTCAAAGTAGATACATAAATTCTGAAAATCAAAATGCTATGATATGTTGATGTTGTTTCTCGAGCAGAAACCACTGTGTGCCTGGTTGATTTGATGTTTGACTTGAGCAAAAAACACCTTAAAACCAGTAAGAAACAAACCAAAATCATAAATAGGGCTTTGAAAGATATAGTACATCAACAACATGTCTTAGCTCTCACAACCCATATTAGCGAGAGCGGATTAAATAGGATTGAGGCTAATGCACTTCTATGAGTGCGAAGCTTTGTGTTTGTCTTTCCGTAATATGTGTGTGTGTGCATATACTTTTATTAGTCATGTTGTGGAAACATGCATCTGCTTTCAAAGTCATTCAGGCCAAAAAGCCATGTTCTCTTGAGTAAATTAATTTATTCTTGCATAAAGAATAGCTTTAAGATCTGCAAATATTTACAGGGTTACTTTTATTAAACATTGCTCAAGTTTTAAATGGTTTTATAAATGTTTTCTATTACAGTTCATTTCTAAGATTCAATAACTAAAGACTATCCGACTTTAGTTTGCAAAGTCACCATGCATATACGAGTTGTGAACTATGGTCATCTGCTCAGAGCCAAGAAGGCCTCCACAGTATAAAAACATTCTTAGAGGAAGAAGTGCTAATAATTCTGCTTTAGAATAAGTATTAACTCAGTGGCTGCATACAGGGCAATTATGAATGAAATGATCATGAAAACATTTCATTTTTAAAAAATATGAGTCATAAAAGGGAATTCAATACGACTCGGAGAAAATAAAGATTCCATTCAGCTTTCTATTAAGCAAATTTTCACAGTATAATCATTTGAAGTGATTAAAGCATGGCTGTGGTGTGAGAATGCATATAAATGCAGATGTCTCTGCTTCGTGTCTTGGGCGGTCTGCTTTAGCAACAGATCAATGGATCCACTGGGCTTTGTGGAATCAATGGCTTCTTCTGATTCCAATTAGGACAATTAACTTTACTTTCATCAAAGAGGCAAGTTTCTGTTACTCACCTTGAAAGAAATTAAATTAAGGCTGTCACCCCGAACAATATACAGCTACTTTGCAAGCAAGTTCTTTCAATTCTGATTATAAAAAAGTTATAGAAAAATGTTTTTAAAAAATATATAGTAATAATAATCAGAAAATCCAAAATGCAGAGCTCCTCAGCTGACGTACAGTAAATAAAAGAGACATTTGTCCTATATGATAATGATAACCACTACAGTTCTCTGTAATTGTGCTAACTCTAACTTGTGTCAATGGGACAAACTGTGCTTGGACTGACCTTGGTGGCAGCAGGGTATCCAGCTGCCACTTCACCAGAGCAGTAGGGCTTTTCTTCATGGGATACGTCAACAGAGGAGGCCCACTGGTCCAGGTAACCACTGGGTGTGTAGAGGCCGCAGTCTCTCACACTTGTCTCTCGCTCAAAGTCCTCACACACCCCGTCACCGTCGTAGTAATAGCACATGCTTGGCTCATCTGTAGGTAAGAAGGGAACAGAAAAGGTTGTAGTTTAATAATGAACAAATAGAATATGTTTCCACACACTCCAAGGTCTACTGCTTGCTTACTATTCACTTATCCATTTTAATGATACTTTATAATTACCACTCTATCCTTATGCACATTAAGCTCAAAGAGCTTGAAATTACTGATATATAAATGGGGATGTGGGGGTGCATTAAGATCATAAAGAAAGAAACAAAAACAAGCATGAAAGACAGGGTATGGGTAAATGAGAGCATAACAGACAAACACAGGGAGGAGGAGGGGGGCAGACAAAGTTAAGAAAGATACAGCATTTTTTCCAGACATCCCACCCGGAGTTAAGGTCTGGAACTGAAAGCTTGTGTACTGGAGGAGAGGGGAGTTTGCCTGGGCCTCATTGGTCTCAGCTCTCAGCTAAAGCAGCGTCAGCCGGTGGGGTTCCAGTTAGGGGGAAAGGCGGCACTCTGTGCCAAATTGGCCAGGGCCTCCTCCTCAAAATTCCAGCCATCCCTAGCACGGCCAAAAGCTCTAGTCAGTTTTTGTGCTCTGGCAATGGTAAAACGTGGGGCTACCGAGGGGGTATACAGAATAGGCTCCCGCCACTCACTCAGCAGGAACAGAGGCAAGCACGAAGGGATGAACTCAGGCTGAGACATGAGGAAATTCAAACAGCATCTGGTGAAAGGTGCAGGAACAATCGGCAGAGTGTGAGCTGAAGAGAGAGTATCAGTACATGCATGAAAAAGATGTGACGGTTTATGAGGGTAGGAGAGGAAAGGTGATTAAAAGCATCAACAGCAAAGAGAGTCCTGCAGAAGGAGAAAAGAGACAATCGAGAGCTGCCAAAGAAATAACTGACAAACGTACTTGTCTGTTTCTTTGATTGTTTGACTTACATAATCTCGTGATGTTAAGGAGGGACAAGACTGAAATCTAACCAAAAAATGAATCCTTAGGTCGTTGTTAGATTATGGGACCAGGGTGTAGGAAAATAAAATATCTTTAAGATTTTGTACACTTGTTTTTGTTATGGGATGGAGCCTCTCTAGTCATAGTAAATGAGATATAGCTGAGATCATCTCAGCTGTGAATATCTGAGTGAAGTTTTACAATGTGTAGCACTGTTTTCTTGATGCATCCCTCATGTCATTTCTCCATCAAGCTTTTTTTAACTATCCAGCACATTCCGATCATGACATCCCAACAAGTAGACACTCTCACACATACAGACAGATGGACACAAGGTCCTGTCATTATAGTGTCAGATTTCTGCTCAAAACTTCGGCTGCGTCAGACATTGTAAGAAGCACACGCACGCAAACGTGTGCACACTTCCAAACATCCAAGAGTGCTGCAGTTGGTGGAAAAACAGCACAGCCGATGCAGTCATCTAGCAATCTGACAGGGATTAAGTGGCCACTGCACAGAAGCTCACACATGTGTGTCTCTGCATGCATGTTCAGTGCATCCACAGGCACACACCATCAGAAAAAGACTGGGTGGAGCGTTGATTGTATGTCTGCAGGGAGAGGGGACTGGAAACCATTCATCTGTTCATCAAATGAAACAACTAATTCACAGGAAAAGAGGCCATTCAATTTTTAAAAATAAGATTACAGTCAGCCCCTTACAAATAATAACAACCATATTTTTGATACAAGTGATTATTATAGCTTTTGGTATTTTTTACTACAGTGAAATTATATGCAGCCAGATGTGAAGTCTGTTAAGTAATGGAGGGTTCATGCAAGTTTGAGATTATGTGGAATTTTTTGTTGTCATTTTCTCTATTCTTATTCTTTACAGGTGAGAGAAAGCAGAGAAAACTATTATTATTTGAATTTACTCTCTACATTAGTTAAAGAGAGTCAGCTTTAAAAAAGTATCATACTGACATAAATATGTCATAATGTTTAATTGCAAAGTGATGATCCAAACAAAAATGTGGACACACTTTTCATGTTTTTTCCAAATGAGTTTTTCTCTGTGATAGCAAGCAACATTTGTTGCATATGAACCAAATCTTCCACTTTCATTCCCATTAATAATATATAGGTTTCAAGGGAAGAGTTTGTTTGTTTACAGTCTACAAACTGAGTTACTGAATATTTCATTCTTAAAACCTTGGCTAGTTTATCAAGTTAAGCAGAGGCAGCTGATTTGAATGAAGAAAGAAATAGAAAGAAAACATGTTAAAATCATAAAGCGGAAAACAACACAGAGCTTTATACTGCATGTGTCTGTTATATTCATGATCTCTGCATTTTGCTTAGTTAAACTAAAATAATTTTTAACAAACATTGCTCCACATCTCTATATTCGGTTGTATTGATGTTTAAGCCCATTTGCTTGACTGCAGTTTGTCTCAAGTTTGGATACACTGCTTCCCTGTGTAGAATCAATACATTATGCATCAATGTAAGGTTGTAGAGAGGAAGGTTGTATTATTGTCTTGTAAGGATGGGCTATTGGTTCACTATTGGAGCCAAACTTCATCAAATTAATGCAAATTAATGCAAAAAGATTCCAAACAATATGGAAAAGATGTAAAAACCTATGGTGCATGGCACGATTAGAATAATTATTTTTGGCACAAAAATGTTTGCAGTGGGGTTCTTAAAGAGCAGCATGATTTGCAACCACTTAACAGTCTTGAAACGGGGCATTTTGGCCTCACAGAGCGAGATTGTTATCATAAGACTGAAGACAGAAAGGATCTCTTATAAAATATCTCAAAAAGAAAATCTCATCGGAAGTAAGTTGTAGAACATCTTTATGTAACTGAGCGCATACAGAAACAAACAGTATTTTAGGTTTGTCCTTTTTCAAACGGAGGCCAAAACTACCAAGGCACACAGCTCTTATTGACTAGCTCTGGGCGAGTGAAGGCATGCTAAAGTTGTGGCTATTTCTTTTACAAATGAATGTCGGTACGTCTTTCCTTATACTACATCTTGTTGACCATTTACAGTGAATAATTTAAGTGGTTTAATGAGTTTAATGAATTCCTCATTAAAACACCTTTACCAAACAGGGAAAGTTTGCCTTCTTCTTGCAATTGCTCTTTGTCTCTCTCACCTCATCTCATTTTTTTATGAGCACTTCCTACATATTCTGTGTCAAATTGCTAGGGACGGCTATCAGGTTTAAACAATCACAGTTAAGAATCAGCTGACTTTTTGGCCTCGCATTAAGACATTAAAAACAGCAATCCCTCCAAGTCAGAGGGAATGAGTGCTAAAATAAATGATCAGCTCTGATTGAAATCAGCAAGTCTTCGCTTTCCATTATCATCTCAAAACACAAAGTCAGATAACGCAGGTAGTGAAAAGAGATCCGAGAACAAGAGAAGCATAATGTAAATCGAATGTCTATCTCTCCTTAGCGATCCTTTTCATAATGTTGTCAGGAGCTGTTCTTCAAATCCAAATTTGATAACTTTTTTTTTATCTAGAAAATTTACAAAAACAGAACCGCAGTCGAAATAAGAAGCATGTTTCCAATGTTTAACCATACAGTATACTTAGTCATCCACAGCTTAAAAGCTCCTTTCTCTAAAGAATGTAGACATGATCCACTTATGCCGTGAAGGGTTGAACACAGGATGTTGCTCAAAGATGCAATGAAAAGAAAATAAATCTCTTTGTTGCCTTTTCTTTTTCAAACTCCAGCCGTTGAGTGACGTGGATAAGTATGAATTATCATTTTCATCTTAATGATAATAATTTATCCATAAGACTTACCAACACAGTTGAAAAGGTTCTCTTTCTTGCACTGACTGGAGCAGCCATCCCCATTTATGGAGTTCATATCATCACATTCTTCTCCCTGGGAACTTGAATTACAAGAGACAGAACAAACAAATGCACGCAATCAGAAACTGCATAGCAAATGGAACGCGTAAATCATTTAATTACACACCTCCATTTGCGCAAAAATATTGTGATAGCTTTCATAGGGGGGTCAGTTACCTCTGGATGCGTCCATCGCCACAGTAAAGTGCCCCAAGCTCATGCACCAGCGGCGGAGAAGGCTCACTCTCACTTCTACGGGATATTGTTTGGATTTGGTAGGTATAGACAGAATGGGGTGTCACATCCCTACACAAAGTGACGAAGAAAAAAAAGCCACCATGAGATCATATGTCTGAAATCATTAATTAAGGAGAAAAGATCATACACTGAAAAAAAAAAGAAAAAGGGTTCAACCAGACTTCTGGAGAGGGAATCGATGGCACTGCTGCTCAGTTTGCTGATGTGTATGAGTTCCTTATCTTAAATCTTTCATCAACACTCATAAAAACATCAGTCTCAGCGCACACTTCAACACATCTGCTTATCTGTTAAGTAGCTGATATGGTGGCGTGGACCCACATAGGGTCCATCTCTGTTTAGTGTCATCATCATAGTGATTCAAGGAACTACTGGTATGAATGCAGAGTGGAGAGGAGAAATACCAGGGGGACTATTCGCTTTGCCAGTGTGAATCTCCACAATACAGTTTCACAAAACTGGGCAGAAACATAAAAAAGAGTAAAATTTCCAGTAAATAATAAGGTTACGCTAAACTGAAAGATGAGTATATGTATGGAAACATGTTTTCTCTGATCATTTCTGATCATTTCTGATCTTTTGACGTGAGCCTTGTGTGTGTTTCTGTGTGTGAGTACTATAGCTATTTTCATGAAGTTTTGTCCTTTACATATTCCACACACCACAGTTTAGATTACCTACTCTGGCATCTGATTAGAGTCATATCAAAAGGGAAACACCGGCATTGGGTTCTTACGGTCAATAACTAATTCCGATTAGGTGATTTCTTGTCACTGCATTGGTCATAGATTTTCTGTAATGGTGCGTGCATTTAACTCATGACTAAATTCTGACAGAAAACAGAAAGTTTAAAAGGTTTAATAACAGCTCAAGTTTAATTTTCCTCCAGCTAACACTACAGAGAAAATTAAGTTGTGCTTTTATGTTATTCAGTGCACTTAAGAAAGAAGATGGAAATGTTCAATTGTATGTTGTAATCAATACTGGTTACATGTGGGCAAAGATTAGCTATTTAGATGGGGGGAAAATATCAGTAAATAGGGTTAGGGCCAGATAAATTTGCCACAGATTATTTCACGTGGACCATCAAGTATCATTGAGATGATTTCAGAATCCCATCTAAAATTCTGTCAATCCAGTGACATGCAAACAAGAATAGTGCTCATCTGAAATTAACAACACAGCAACATCCAGCACACAGACACTCTCCAGCATATGGATACACTCTATGGTATACCAATTATACAAAACCCTTCACACACATGTTGGCACAAGCACACGTGTGCACACATACACCCCCTGTATCCTTGAAAGTAGGCATGGACAACATTTCTCTGCCAAGTGGGGCCTTCAAACCTAAACAAAAGCACACAAGCTGAAACCACTATTCCCAATCCTCCCATATATTCCCCGGTGTGAGTGCAAAGCACCAACAGGAGCAAACACTCCTGCCAACTTGCTCTGGCTCAACAAACCCACGGCCAAAGTCAGCAATTAAAACCAAGGAAGTCTTTGAGTGATGTTCAGGAAAGCCGTAACCTTTGATGAGCTCTCCTTTAGCATTTTTTACAACTACCAACCAAGAGGAGCAGAATCTTCGCAAACGCATGCTTAATACAAGTTCAGATATTTTGCAAGTATGCAAGTATGTTGCAGGCATGAATGCATCCGAATGAGAGATATGTAAATGTTTCTATTCTTAGTTGATGAATATAAAATATTTACATGAGAAGAAGTTGCATTCAAGTTGTTGTTGACATTGGTCCATTATTTATTTTCCCCTCATTTTCACATCTTACTGTCTCACATTTCTATTTTGTTGTGTTTCCAAGCTGACAAAACTCACTTGTACTGTCCATTATCTAAAAACGAACAGACCTAATTACCAGTTGACAAAAATGATTTGCCAACCGCTCAATTCATGCCTGATATGAGATACTTATGTTGGCTTCATCAACACGAAATGTTTTTCATCCAGTCATTTTTACAACATTGTACCATGCTGTACAACGCTGGTCGATGCTGGCGCAATTCTAAACTACACTCAGGCATGCTGATCCTAATTGAGTTAGTTTAGGGCTTGGAAAAGTCAAGTTGCTGGAGACTTCATCTTGGTTCAGAGCAAACAAATACCACACATGGAAAGAAAAGAGAGACCGTTACTGATTTAAAGGGAAATATACTATTTTTTAAGTGGTGCTGATACTAATGCTAATATACATAGTTAACTCACAGTTTGGAGAATTAGGGTGGAACCAAGTGCAGGAACTAAGCAAAAGAAATTCTCGGCAAGGTACCACAACAGAAAGAAATTGCAATTTTAGACAGCTCAAAATTCATAATTCCTTTAAAAGGTTATGTCAGAATTATTGGGCAGTGAAACTCTATGAAAGAATTAACAGATGGTGCATGTTTGTGTATTTCCAGGCTTTTAACTGACTGATAATAAGGACGGTGGAGTATTGGTTTCCAGTCAGATTGGATTTGGTAAAATGACTTGACCTCTACAATAAAAGTTGTGGGTTATCATTATAAAGCAGTAGCTAATGTTGATACTGAAAATGTCTACTGCAAAAACCATTTCTGACTTCTTTACCCTACAGCCTCCCTGTGTACAAAGCCATTAAAACCGCAGATTAGTCTGCACAGCTTCAAATGTTCTGTTACTCAAGGTGAATGGAACCATAATTTCAGTTCAAAACATAAATCATTTCACACTTTTAAGAGGCAAAGCTGCATTTTCTGTCCTGCATTATTTCACCAGAAAACAATAAGAAGCTAAGAGCTCAGGTGTCAGTTGGTCATAAATCACTGCCTACTTGGGTTACATTGAAATCTTTCTCATATTTATTTAACTTTTATCAAAAGTGAACCTTGATTCTTTGGCTCATCTGACGTGTGTACTGCAAAGGTCCGGATGCTGCCAGAGCAAAGCGTACCACTATGATGTGAAACTCTGCTCTGGACTGGACATGTTTCCGGAAACCTTTGGATAGGAAGGGTCAGCAGTGCTGTTCCAAATAGTGGGACAACAACTGTTTAAACAATGCTTTCAACCTGTTCCCAATTAGGTGAGCGTCTGACCATTTGAGAGCTGCTATTGGCAGTGGGGAAGAATGATATAAATTGATGCACTTCTCTATCCCACAGAGTTTTACAAGTCTAACATAGCAAACGTATGCAAAAACCCCGTCAGAGGCAAGAAATATGCAGTTAAATATATGCGTTAAAGGATACACAACTATTTTGTGTTCAATATCCATCCCAACAATAATCAGCATTCAACTTGTGCATGTCATGGATAATATCCAGCACCCAAAATGAATCATTCAGAAGAAGCATACACAGTAACTGAACTTGTGACGTATAGAACTTGTTTGGTCTAAAATTATCTCTACAAAGGACATAACTGCAGTCACTGTGTCACGTGATAAGATGCAATCATGGCTGCTTCTTTCTTCATCCAGACATTCTTCCTGTGGGAATGGAGGTGTTATCTCAGCGTGCTCTTTAAGTTGGGCACAAGGCTCTGAAACGAGTCCTTCAAAGGTATTTTGATAGTACCAGATGATTGCGCATAGACTCACTTCCAAACAAATGTGCCAGTTACTGAGAGCAATGAGAGCATTTGTGTGTTTGTGTGTTCATCTTCAATTGTTTGTGCCTTCACAGATGCGTGCGGCAGACCTTTGTGTGAGCGTCCATATGGATATGTTTCTGCTCTGTTGGTCCTTGTTGTTCTTCACTGAAAGATCCCAGATGAGAAAAACAGATAGATAAAGCAAAGACACTTGTTTTGAGGTTTTGTTTTGGTTGTTTTTTTATATTTTTATAAATTTAACCTCCAAGATCCAACAAAGCACTAGTCCATTTAGTTCAGTTTCAAACATTTTTTGTTTGAAATTTTGAGCTATGGTGTGTTCATTTTCAGTCACTATTTGCAGCTGTGTTTGTGACATCAACATACCATCATTAACACTCATGTTGTGAGAAAAATTACCTTGTTCTTCCAGCTGTGGCCAATTTCCCTCCGAGGCCATCGCTCTTCATTTTTCCTGATTTGGTTTCTAACTCAAGATTTCGGTGAAGATATTCCTCTTTGCATGGAATTTAAGGCTGTGGTTATAATTACTGCCATTGTCACACAAAAAAGGGAAAATGTGATATTTTCCTTCTATCAAGTAACATTTTTCCAGCAGAGAACATCGTTTTGAACTCAAACTGAGCGTTGATGACGAAGCTAAATGAAACTCAAACTTAGTTCATTGTTGACCTTGCAGACAGCCATAGTTCTCCTAGTGGTCTCTCATGAATGGCATCCACAGGGTGCACTCATTTGCACGTAGAAACCTGACAGAGAGGATTGTGCGGTGAATTCGAGCAGAAGGCTTGAAGGATAGATTAAAAGCTTGTTCGGTAACTCAGATCACTGACTGGGAAATCTTGTCATAGAATTGTAAGACACAGCCCATCCCCCAGTCCCACCATGGGAATGGCATGAGGGGAGAATAATTTAAACTATTCTTCATCCCTTTCACAGCGGCCACCGTGACACTGCACGGCCCAAATATATGAAAAACAGACAATAAATCGGTTGATGTGGGTTTCAGCTAAGACAAATAGAAAATACCGAAAGCATGAAGGGATTATTGAAGACTTTCTTAACCAGGATAGAGTTCACAGTGGATGTGCAGCACTGATGCTCTCGGGGCTTGCCTGTGTCTCTTTAGCCTCGGAGGTCTCTCGTCATACTTTCTTGACCCCCTTCATCACCCATTGCCACCCACCCCCATCCCCTTCCCAAGCCAAGTAATAATTTACCCCCAACTGATACAACCTCCCACCCTGTGAGTCCTCTTCACCCTTCTTACTCTCCACCATAATTTACTCTGTCACCCTGACCTCCCAGCCGTTAGCCATTCCAAACAAACCACCACTCACGGATGGAGCCAAAGGAGCCAAGATGTCAGCCATTCTTCTTGTTGTTTGCCCCGGCTCACATGAAGGCCAGTGGTCTGACAGAGTGAGGTCAATCACCTCCACCCCTCACCAATTCCATCCAGGCCCACAGTAGCTTATAGGAAGAAGTAACTGTCTGTGTGGTCAACAAAAGCTTTTCAGCAGCTGGACCTTGACAATCAAAGAGTGAACTTTATGTTGGATTTGTGGTGGGCCAAAGCATCTGTGTGAATTCTACATCTCAGAAAATAACATCTTTGAGCAATTTCTGACTTGCTGGACTTATCTTTTTCTTACAAAAATATTTGTTGAAAATTTACATAGTAGTTCTATGTGGTGGAGCCTGTTTTCATTACACTTAATCAGTTTGAGCGGTGGCATGATATGAGAACAGACCCCAGATTATAAACAAAACTAGTGCCCCTGAATCAGCATCTTAAGATAGATAACAAAGATAACAAGAGTGACGCAAAACAAGAAAAACGTCCTTTTTCTTTTGACTTATTTTCTCACAATTATTTGTTTCGAGTCTGTTATAATGAGCTTTATAAATCAGATGTTCTTTTGGGAAGTGGGGGAAACTATGTGAGCTAGATGGTTTGAATGAAGAAACAAAACACAGTTTTTCTTTTGTTGGACGTGTGAAAAAAACTTTCTTTCTACTGAACTCTGACCATTTAACAGAGACAGTATCTCCTATGGTCTTTTAAGAAAAAATAGACTGCTGTTGCCACTGACCATTACCACTGGAATGCAACCACAGCTAGTGAAATGTACCACAGCAGTAAAACTACCTACAGTACATCAATAGTCACTCAAGTGTGCCAAAACCTCCAAATAAATACATCCCTACTGTAGGCACCCATCCACAGACACTGCCATTCAACCAAAATGTTGAGTAGGGACACATGATGGAATCACTCCATCTTGCATTACATGCATACACATCCTTCTGCGTCTTATCTACCACTTTCCTACTCGTGTGAAACACTGACAGAGAGATAATGGGATGGTATAATAAGCAGCAGTGCCATGTATAGCACAATTTCGTCAAGTCAGCACATTCCATGAAAGCAAAGCACTAAATTCTCACCACAGTGTGCAGATAATACCTTCAACAAGTCATCTATTTGCCCTTGCTTCATGGAAAACGGGAAAAAACAAATGTGGGCAACAACTGACCTGTGACTTAGGAAACAAATGTTGGGCAACAGATTTGAAACTGCAGAAGAAGTGGTGGCATGCTAGTAGTCCAGGGGGTATTGAGAGAGGATATCTGGTACATGATGAACACATTTTTTGTGCATAGTTTCCACAGATAAATAAACACCTTTCGTGACATGGCTAAAAAAAAAATCAAATGACCTCACGCTAAAGCGAACGGCTAAAATGTTACCGCTCAGCAGTTCTCAACTTCTGACAGAAAAAACTGCAGAAACAGCTGTTCCATTGTGTTGTGTGCTTTTTACCATGTAAAAGGGTGAAGCTGTTTTGTTTTTAAATGCTTAATGATTATCTATCATCGCACAAATACAAGGGAGGTTTCATGCATGGGGTTGATTCTGTGAATAGCAGTTAATGTTCACCTATCAAATGACTCACCTGTCTGTATATCGACGGATAGGCTCACTCAGTATCAGGCCATAAGGAGCATGAGCGAAGGCCGGTTGTCGCAAGATGCGGTAGTGTAGTGGCTGGCAATACCTGCAAAGTCTGCAGTCTGGCTTGGATGCCAAAAGAGTGGCGTCAATCTCGAGGTACTGCTCCATGGTGTAAAACTGTACTCCGTACACCTCCTCTTCAACGTCCAGCTTCAGAGTCAATGGGGTGTCACAGAAAACATTACTGGGGCCCAACGAAATGTTGCCCCCACTGACCGTCAGCAGCAAGATGTTATGGATAGCAGGCAGAGCCGTTTCCTCTGAATTGAAAAATGTGATCCACACAGTCAAGGAGTCAGGGACCAGAGGGTAAGGGAACTCCAGCTGAAGCATGCACCCCTGGTCAGGGCACTCCGACAGGCCAACAACACCTTGCTCAGTTCCTGCATTGGGGCTCCACGTGCGCACACTTGGCTCACATGCCTGCTCCACATCTGGAGGGCCTATGGGATTGGATTACAAAACACATGTCAACAACATACAGGCTTTAAAAAAACAAACCAAAAATAATATATATGTAAATATACATGTATAACAGAATTGCAAATCGAAGACATTTTAATTCACTATAACAAGTCACCACTGACATAAATGAAGTGCGACTCCAAAGATATTACAGCGTAAGTCATTCATTTGATTATTGTGATTTTTTTCCTGCTCAACTAAGATTTATTTTTAAAATTTCATCTTAAAGCTTACGGCCCATTTATCATTGCCATGCTAGCAGAACTTGCATCTGTTATGTATTTGCTTTATCTACAGGTCTTGTGACATCAAGGTTGAGGTGAGACTGAGAGTTCATTGTGAGTCCATCTGTAGAGGAAAGGCAGAGCTGAGGTGTGTACCTTCTGAGAGGGGCCCTCTGCGGGGTTCTCACTTCAGCGCAGTCATTACAACCTCAAACAGTAACACTCCAGCCATATTTGGAGTCCACACACAGCTAACTCGCATTATCCCAAGTGACGTACACTAACATTCATCAAGCGCTTTAAGAAGCCAGCAAGTGGCAGACACTATGTTCTCCCTCGATTTCCTTTTGTGCAATTCCAAGCTGGCAACCAGTGAAGCCATTTGCTAACCTCATTTCTGGGCACTGTGCAAAATTCCAGTGTTTAATCAAGTGAAGACTGAATATGGTTTCCAAGCCACATTATCTCAACACATTTATTATTGTACTGTAAGAGTGTGTGTGGCCAGAGTAGAGGTGAATTAAAGAGAGAAAAGAGCAAGAGAAAAAGGGTAAAGGCTGGAAGAAAATGAACTAAGGTGCTCCAAGAGCTTGGCTTTGCACAGCTCATGTAATCTGGGCTTTCTGGGTACATTTTCATTGAGTTTGCAGGGAAAAGGCGCTGTAGCCACTGAAAATATTTTGTAATGTCAGCTGTTATGATGGGCCCCACTCCTGCTCTGGCACTGCTACTAATGTTGTTGGAGATTTAAGAGGAGACAGAGTAGGGGTGTCATCCATTGTGTAACCCAAAGCAAAATAAACTGTACTATATCCAAGCAAAGATCTATGACTGACAGTTAAATCTGTTCATGTAAGGGATTTGAATGTATTTTAAACCGCAATGATTTATGTGCAATATCCAAGTCTTTAGATAGAATCTAAGTTTGCATTTTGTCGCTGACAGAAAAAAATGTCAAGGAATAAATAACTATTTGGGATTACATATAATGATATTATAAACACACATTTATATGTAATTGTATTAGTTCAATCTGAGACCATTTCATTTAATGCTTGCTTTTTTCTCAGCTTAAGTTATGGGAAAGGATAATAGCTTCATGAAAAAAAGTATTTTTAAAATAACTTGAATAAAACATGTTTGTGGCTAAAATTATCATCATTGAGATTATGTATATTGTGGTTGCTTCGAATGCAAAATTACAAGTTTTCACCCTGGTAACTGGACTTCTTGAGCCATCATGTCACTGTGTTTTCAAAGTTCTTACTTGACATTAAGAACAAACTGTCACAGAGCTCTGGAAAATCTGCTGCCTGCAGGAAGAGATCCTATGTCGTAGTTAAATCATTCTTGCATTGCAAGGGTTTAATAAATAAACAAAAATGTCCTATGATTTAAAAAATGTAACTGTCCAATGACAGTTTTTAATACAGCGGGTGCCCATTTGCCACAATTTGTGGTACTACATAATAATTATCAGCTGAAAATGCTTAAAACGACAATCTACATTACTTTGCTGACATTTTCAACATTTTGAAGGCAAATTTCACAAGCCAGGATATTCCTTGTAAAAAAAGGGGTTAACTGTCTTTTGAAAACCAGCTCAAGGAGCTCCTGGCCAGTCATGAATTGATGATTAGCAGGGAATAACAAAAAAGGTAACTATGACCAGACTGATGCAACACTAGGTGTAACCCTGTTCTGCTACTTTGTGGCCAGAGGATGGGAGCAGTATGTGTCAGCTGCTTCCAGGGAGTCCACTCCTTTTTATTTTCACAAAAGGCCTTTTTTCTACTAGTGAAAAAAAGCAATAATTTGCCATTCTGAACCTGGAATCACAATTATCTGTACATTGTAGGGAAATTAAATACAATTTTAAGAATTTGATGAAACAGAAGTCCAAAAGAACTGCTGGTCAATGACCAGCATAAGCCCTGTGCTCTGGAGAATTATACAGATCCAAAAAAAAGGCCAGGGAGCGGTATGAATAAACAGACAGGGATATGTCTGGGCATGCACACTCTTTGCTTTCTAAGAAGTGTCTGGCTCTGGCTCTTGCTATCTATGACTCACTGTCACATACTGTTACACACTTCCTCACTTAGACAGCATATATCAACCCCCTCCAACACTTTAGCATTGACGTACACACAAACAGAAGGACACTTTGCAGACACAATTAGGCCTTTTAAAATGGCAACAGACACTACTGCTTGCAAATCGCTATCACGTTACATTAGCACATCATGAAATCTGGAAAATGTTGGAAGACCCCAAATAATCATGTAAATTTGTGATATGGAAAGCATTATTCCCTTTCAGTTTATCAGTACTATTTTGCTTTTAATCAAATTAATACCAACTGAATACTTCTAATGAAGATTTGAAGATTTTTTTCTCCTTCCCAAGATAAAGAATTCTAGTCAATTCATGACAAGAAATAATATATAATTGCCTCATGAATATTCCACATAGAATTAATCGTCGGATTTTTTTTGACACATTATAATTATTTGTAGTATATTTGACTTCCTAATGAAAGCTTCCCCCTCTGTTCACTTTAAACCTGCACAACTGCAGTTAAGGACAGTAAAATAAAATCATTAAAATCAGGGATGTCACCAAGGTGTAAAAAAAGACAAATAAAAATATTAACACTGTTAATTTAAGTCCCTACATTCAGCCTACCAATTAACATTACAGGACAAGAAAATGTCAGTAGAAAGGGAAAAAATGCATCTTCAGAAAAAGATGCTTAATATCAAGTATAACAACAGACCAGTAGATGTTTGACTTTAAATTATGTGCAAGAATGACAGCAGACAAATCCCTTCTAAGAAAAAGTGCATAACACTGGTGAGTAAAGAGTTGACTGTATGAACGTAAAAAAAAATGATCATATACAGTACTATGTGTGCTCTCATTTCTCTTTCTGCTGTAAAAATGCATCACCCTCTGCGTGTTGTCTTTTCAAAAGTTGCTGTGTAACCCGACATGTTTATGGCTTCACATTAGTAACTGTCTGAATGCAGTTACATTCATTTTTATATGATACATATGTCTGTGTTTGGTGCAGCAATCATCAAAAAGTAGAGGGTGCAATTTAGCGTGACTCATAAGGAAAATGCCATCTTGATCTTTTTGTGGTCACAAAAGAGCTGCAAAACATTGGGACATCCTTTTAATCAATGGAAAAAGGGATAGCCATGTTCCACAAAAACAGGGACACCTTGTCACCCTGAATCTTGGATTCTTTTACTTCAATGCATGCATTCTTCAGTCAATCCAGGATCCTCCCTTGTTAATGCTGCTAACCCCTCCCTATATCCCAAACGCCCCCCTCTAGGAATACTTATCCTTGTGATTTGTTGCTCTTTTACATTGTTTTTTACAAACCAGAAATATTTCACCCTGACATCGACTCGCAAAGATTTACGAGAAGCACGTTGGTTCATTCTGGCCACACAAGTGTTTCCCAGTCAAGTCACGTGAAAAAGACAGCCCACAATCCCAAACAGGTGCCATATATGAATAAATGCCAGTAAAGGCAAGCAAACAGTCGTGGCTGTCACAAATAAAACTTTTGATACCCTCAGCTTTTAATAAAGGGACATGTCAATCGTAAACATTCCATAACGTTAATTGGCAGTATCTGCATAGTCTGTGGTTTGTCAGCACGTCCAAAAGAAACTGACGCATATGCACACTCGCAGCAGGACAGCAGCTGTGGTATCCAGTTAGAAGCTGGCTCAAGCAGAGCTATTAGAGGGAGGGGAGTTGCCTAAAACGGGAACCCATTCCAAGAGGGAAAACAGAGAGCAGTTTACACGCACAACATATTGGACAAGTCCAGACTTGCTTCTGATACACACACAATAGCCATAATAACATCCTGTGCCATGCAAGGTTTAGTCATTATCAAACATATATATGTATAAATATATAGCTTTGTTTTGTTTTCACATGAACTTGCTGTGGGTGACATCCTGCAGATGGTTTGCACACAGAAAAATGCATAAATTTCATACGGGGTAAGGCAAAGTTATGTACACCCAAGTGATTGTGTAACCACCAAGCTAGCTATTCTCTGAAAAAAGTCAAATAATGAAATGCACTCATTATTTTTGCTGCATGTTAAATATGATGGATAATATTTCAATGTGCATAAATCACTTTCTATTCCATAAATAATTATGCTGTATTTTGTCATACTACTATCCTGCAATGCTATGCTTGGATTCATTCGCTCTGATCCTGTTCGAATCAGTGGAAATAAGTGTTTCCGATCTAAAGAAATGGTACTCTAAGCAGCTAAAATAAATCAGTTTGAACACTTTCTCAATACATTTTGAGAGGTTGTGTCTCCAACAAGACCTCGTTCATGCAGAGAATCCGAGCAAATTTTTAATTTGAATATGTTTTTTCAGGCATTATTACTACAGGAAGCCTATAAAGTTGAATAGGTTGGGTAATCTATATCACTGAGGCCTATTATCATAAAAAAATGTAGTATAAGAAAACCATGGAAGCAGGCAGCATCATTACTTCCAAGGTAAAACACATTTGCTTTTGTGTTGAAGCGAAGTAAGTGGATATGTACACAAAGGTGCTAACACTGTTAGTGTAGTTTGCTTATGTATGCGCATTTCATTTGTGCCAGATGGTGTTTGTGTGAATGTGCACATTTCTGTGATTATGCACTGGTTTCGGAGTATCAACTCACAGTTGACTAGCTCAGCTTTACTCAACCTTATAATGACTTGCCTGAGAGGTGGTGCATGGACAAAAGAAGCACACATTAAATGTTGGTGTTTGCATAATTAAGTCACACCAGCAGCTTGTGAAGAGACAGAACAGGCTGTTAGACTGATCCTGAGGGAACCGTAGTCTCCTCACCTTTAAGCAAACAAATTGTTTTGGCCGTCTGAAAACACAGAGGGAAAAAAAAGTGCAAAAAGTGCTTTCAATGTGCGCCACCAATTTGTCACTCAGTGCTTCTAATTGGAACTCTTCAGTCAAACATTTGAGCAAAAATGTCTTTGCTTGAGGCAAAATATCTTTCAAATTCTATTATAATTTTTCAAAATAGCCAAAAACCACAAAGTAATCCATAGGGGCAGTTTTAAAAAATAACACAACTTGCATTGTGTTCACACCTTTGTTTGATGAATTGTTCAGGGGAGCTGATAGGCAGTAAAATAGGCAGATTTAAAAACTTTCAACAGATCTTTTCATACTGCATCACATTTTACTTAACCTCCTGCCAACTGGCCTCATATTGGAATGTCATTCTTTTTTTTAGCGTTTTTGTCCCTCTGTCATTTTTGGTTGTGCTTATTCTGACTGTTGGTGGAATATGAACAGAAATACACTAGATTTTAACCCTTTAGATGTGACCACTGTATGAGAGCAGTGAATTTCAATTCAAATTTCAGTTTTAAAGATGTAATTGCATCTCAATGCTCAATGATTGAACGTTATGAGTTGAATAAAATATGGCATGAATAACTTGATTCTGCATTCAAAAGTTTGCTGATTAAGGCTTATTTGCACAATTAGCATTCACCTGTGCATACTATCACTGTACCAAGATAAAAGTATTCATAGAGGAAGGGAAAGTCCATTGATCTACTGAACAGAGACAAAGATGAGAGTGTGAGTTCCTGGATGCTACCTATTTGAAATATGTCTTTCAATGAATTGATGGCTTATAATAAGTTAAGCGGAAGGAAGGATAACCATGAAATGGGAAAATTATGGTGCAGTTATTTCTATTATTTGAAATACTTAATCTACCATGTGAACATTCCTGTGACACGGCTCTTTTTCCGAAATGTAACAAATTTCAGTTTTTACAGCCTTCATATACAATCTAAAATGTTTTTTTTCAAAAATGTGGAAATACAGAAAAAGATCTTTAACCTCGGTTTTGGGCCTGAACTCTCATGTGGGAATTGTGGTACCATACACCACCATCCATTGGGAAACGACCTCGGTGATACTTTCCTGTTGTCCCACGGCCCATGTGTCATAAAACCAGTGAGTCATTTGCATGTTTTTGGCTTGAGTCAGGCACCAAAATTTGTGCATGAAGTATTGACTCAGAAACGCAACCCCCAATAGTCTGAAAATCAATCTTTAAACTTCAGACTCAAGGGAGCATGGATCTCCTTTTATACAATATTTGCTTTCAGTGATTATCAATATCATAAAAAGGAGAAAAAAAGGAAAGTTACTTTTCTGTGTTATTTGTCAGCAACATGCATTTGGTACATGCTCCTAAAAAGTGTCCATAAACCAGCCAACCACTCGGGACATGATAAGAAAAATAACATAAGAAAAACACCAAGCTGTAAAAGTGTACCTTCAGCCTCTCGTGGGGACCAGTGTCCAGAAGGGTCGCATGGTCGTGGAGATGAGGAGTTGAAGGCATACTGCAGTAGAACTCCACCCTCTGTACATTTATCACACACTGATCCCACTTCTCTAGGAAACCAACAGTCGAGAACAGCAACCAACTTAGATACGGACCAAATACACATAGCTTTTACTGCTTATACAGATATATCAACAAGATCAGTTCTGTGGCACACGACATTATTTTTGGATAGTTAAGTCTCAGATATGCAAATTTGAAATAAAAGACCCTTAATGTCAAATAGAATCAACAAGAAATTCCCGTCAGCTTCTTGCCACAGTAGTTCATTTCACCTGTCGTAAAAGTGTCCAGATATTGGTGGAAACCATTCGATGGTGAGGGAATTATGATGCTGTTCCACGACTCGGGGTGCCATCGGCACTAGGGGAGGCTTGGAGACAGGTTGCCATGTCTGGTAGATCAGATCCAAGTAACAGTGCATCCTTGCCACCTGGTTCAGTGTGAAAGAGTCTGTACAAGCATCATCTGCAAACCAAAGATTAGTCTGTGAGTTTTATTTGATCACTGAAATCATTTTGTTTCGCATGAGAAAACATTCAATTCAGAACCAAGTGTATTAACTGGTGGGTACATTGGATAAACATTTTTGCTCATGAGCATAAACATTTTGTATGGGTAAGTGGTAGAAATTTGGAGGAAACCCCAGCTCACCTGCATAACTCATGTAGTTGTTAAAGGGCGTTTGTGTGAAATGCCTACAGCCGCAGGTTTCATTGCCCGGCTGGGGATCGTTGCAGCCTTTGTACTTGGGAGTAGGATTGGTGTCAGCGCACAGATCTCCAGTCATCATTGAGGGCTCAGTTTCTAAACACGCATCATTGCATGATTCAATTTCTGATATGCCTCTAAACACATGGTATAAGCCAAGGCTATGCCCTATCTCATGGACCATTGTGTCGGTGTGACCAAATGTTCCGTAGAAGGAGGGATTCAACACCATTCCACCTGAAAAAGCACAGACAAGGCAGTCAGACATATACATAATGGAAGTAATCAAGCACAAAACAGCGCTGCCCATTTTTAATGTAGTTTAAAATACTTGTGGGACTTGAGTAAGACTTCACCAATGCATTATTCATTGGCCTCCTCGGCTTCATTATCACCTTTTCAACAAGAGCTTTGATGAAGGCACTCACTGCTTGAGGCCTGAACTGTAAATACTCATATTCAATGTGATAAAGATGAATTTGTACACGGTTTAACAATGTGTGCAAGGAAGTATGGATGTATGAATGAGTGCGCGTCTGTGTTTTAAATCTCTCCTCTACCTAAATGTGTGAGGGCCTCTTTGTCCCATGGCCAAGTGGCAACCCCTGCCAGATCTTCATCAGACGAATTGGCAAAGAAGACATTTAGGTGAGTTGAACCATCCAAATATAGAATCTCCTTCAGCTCTTTCACGTCCAAATAGGCTCTGGAAATTCAAAAAAGTTATTAGGTCGGTAATAAAGAATGAACTTATCCTACTGAAGGCAAATTTCAATAAGGCAATAAAATCAGGGAGCATATACAGTACATGTTATCTTTGAAAAAAAACAAAAGAACTGAGAATAAGGTCCCTAATGAAAGTAAGTACTCCTTTAAGGAAATTTGGCAGTCTCCGCGGCCCCAAACCTAGAAAAAGTCAGACCCAGAGATGTTGAAACCAGCTTTGTTTTCAGGAGTGTGTCCAATCAAATAAAACATTTTTATAAGAAGTATCCACTCACTGGGAAGTGGTCTGAAGATAGTTTTCTCCTCTGTGACCAGATTTAAAGCTGACTCCTCAATAAACAGTTCCATTGTTTGACAGTCCTGTCAGTCACTGTTTCTACATTACATAGCTAAGTCTAATAACTACTGACATTTGTAACCCACGACAAAGTGTGTTTCACTTACACCACATATTTAGTGAACATCTCATCTTAATGATGTACATAAATCCCAGTTCCTGACTCCCAACTGGTGGTTAAGAGAAAAGTAAAAAGTAAGATAGAAAGTTGAAAGATTCAGGAAAACTCATCTACTATCTAATGTGTTCATGTTAACCCTGAAATATGGTGCATCACAGTGAGTTCTTGAATAGAATTTGTATGCTTTACTCTAAAAAATTCTTTACTCTCAAACTGCAGCATGAAACAAAATGTGTGTTTTGTTCTCAACCAAATAAAATTATATTTGTGTTCTTTGTGAGTTTTTTTTTTTTTTTTTGTAGCTGCTGCTTAGGTTAGCGTGAAAAAAATTACAAGTAGGGATGTTTAGACGTGTACGTGTTCCCAGTTGTTTAGATCAACAGTGTACTGAAAGCAGGGAATCACATCTCAGGTCTGAACACCATGCATATCAGTACTTTTTTTGTTTCATTGCTTTTATTCATCATCACTACCGCCTTCACTCCATCTTTGGTTAAGTTCATGTACCTTCACCTTTAGGTTTATGTTCAGGAAATATAAAGTTCCTTTTTCAATATTTAAAAAAATGTCAGCTCACCTGTCGCACACATGATTAAAAAATGAAATGCTCTCATGAATGACTGATAAAATAAAACTAATTCAAGAACTGGAACCCTTTGTATAGAAAATGTCACTTTGGACACAGTAACAAACAAAATGGAGTGATAAACTGGTTCTGAAATTTTAAGTGGACGCATATGCTTGTCACTAAATAAGAATTACCATAATTCAAAACAGAAGATGATTTCACTGAGTTACTCTCCGCGTAAGTAAACATATAGTTTTGTTTATATCGGGGCTTAATCAAAGAGTGCTCCATTGTGGCTTTGTAGTTGGATTTCAGTGACTAATGATCAGTTTTTTTGGAAAACAGTAAAGCCCCATTTGCATAATTATGGTAATTAAAATTTATCATAGTGAGTGTGGCATTGTTGATATAAATTATGAACAAGACTTGACCCCATATTAAACCTCAAGAAACCTCTGAGAGTCATTATGAGTACATTAGCTTAATTTATTCCTTCTGGTGTGTGATTGATCCTTTTGAAAATAATTCCATAATTAAGATGATTTTAGCCCCTCAAAGAGAGGTATAGTTCACACGAACTGGTTTACAGACATGCATGGAAATTCACATAAATACTCACGAGGAGCCACGAATAGAATGTATTCCACAAAGGATTATCAGTTTACTTAAATTCCATAAATCAGTTATGCTAGTTTTTTTTTTTATTGGTTTTCGGTTGTCCCAGTTCATAGCTACAGCTCAAACTACAGTACTCCTTTTTTTTTTTTTTATTAAGTCAAACAAAACTCAACACTATTGTGTTGGCGACCTGTCCATGCTGTATACCATGCGTCTCGCCCAATGTCAGCAGGAATAGGCTCCATAGCATGATCCTGAACTACAATGTTTTAACCGAGTTTGGAAATGAATGTTTCATTACTGGTCTTAGAATCAGAGCAACAAACTTAAATTCACATAAATTCAAAATTGCTGTCAATTCTTTACACTGGGTTGTCGATTTCAAATATATTCAATGTCCAACAGTCTTACAATAGCCCTGAATAAATAAAAAAACATAACATTTGTTATATATTTTTTCATTTTTTAAATAGCAATATATTTTCTAATATGTTTAGCATTTATATTCATAGGATTTCAGCTCAGCCCGTTTCATTTAAGTCAGGCCAAGACCCTCAGTTCCTTGTTCAGGTAGTCTAATGTCTTCCTATACATGACATAATGTTTTGTCTGAGGCCCTGGGAGTAGTAAAGGCACCACTAATGACTACAGTCACTGAGATATCTTTCCAGCAGTGAAACTGTCATTCATTATATGAGCATATTTTCTCTGTAAGCCTCGCTGGTGGTCCTGGCAAAGAAAATCAACGAGATTAGTCTTCTTGGAATAATCATAATCGTTCGCTGATGCTGAGATGATAGTTTATTCTATTGTGTTGGCTTCGGAAAAACTTTTGAATCATCGTGAGGAGTTTGTCAGAGAAAAGCAGCATAATACTGGGCCCACTTTTTCTAACCCAGTTTGTGTGACCCACTTGCTTGCCTAATATTTCTCACTCATTTTTCACTCATATTTCACATATCACCATAAGATTAAGTGCACTTAAGTTAACCTCTGTTTTTTTTTCAATAAAACTGTGATAAATCTGTCATTTAATTCATTCTTCCCTGGTGTCGTTCAGTCTGTTATAACACAAAACTGCCATTGGGACAAATAAATGTGTTTCTGTTGACATGTTACATTAAATCACAGTTTATTTTTATCATCTATCTATTCTTAAGTGAGTTGTTAGTGTGCAAATGTTGAATAAAATATTGTTTCTTGCACAATGGCATGAAAAGTAAATGCACCTATTTTGCTTTTTTTGCTATTTAGGCAATTTTATTTTATTTAATATAGTAGTGGCAAATTTCAAATAGAGATTTGAAGACATCTGATCATTTTGAAATATAATTAAAATTTGATTGCGTTTGTGAAATTCCTTGTTTCAATGACTTTACCAGCATTCCATATATATGCATATTATTCAATCATGAGCTTGAAATATGAGAGTAAAGGTTGTGAAAGCAAAGGTTATTTTTGTTAATGACCATATCTTTTGTCAAACTTAAGGGAACTGAAGTAAACATGAAGATAAAAGGAAAAAAATTCAATGACTCATTCCTTTGTAAAGGACTTAATCCTGGCATGTGCCGTTTATATTTACCCTTACCCTCAAGGGCTTGATGGAAATTAGGCGTATTTACCAATGTGTTGAACTGCTCAAATGTTGTTAGGTGCTGTAAATTTCCTACAATCACACAATCAAGTTTATAACTGGACAGCCAGACTGGAAATACAGAAACACTGTGCTTATCAGTTGAACTGTTTCTGTGCTCAGTAAGACGCACTGTGATGTGGAGCACGTTTTATCATTAAACTGTGATAACATAAGAGGTCATTTAAACAGATATGACATCTCGTGATCGCAGCTGAGCTGGAGCACTGACTGGTTGAGTGTTTCGGAGTTAAGCTACTTTCTCTTTAGTTGTTTCATTTGGACTTGTTTGAACAGCCGTCGCAGTTATTAGGATTTCTTATTTTACAGGACAGTTCCCAGCATCAGTTACACAAACCTTTCTTTCTTTTCCGTGAAGCATTAATTTGTCACAACGGATCAAAATCAGCCAGACACATGCGAAACAGAGGATGAAATATCCCATCAGCAACACTTGATTGATCAACTCAACAATTTCTATGAGGATTTAGCTCATTGTTGATGTTCTAAAAAATGTGTGTTTGAATTCGAAGAGACAACCAGAGATTACCTCAGGTAACAACTCACAATTTATCTTAAATGCGTCTATGAAGTCGTGCAAAAAACCCAATTGTATTTTTTCTAGTGATGCTGTGGGTTGTCCAATGACTCGTCAATAAAAACTGCATTCATGGAACACCAGAAAAGCCCCTCATTACTAACATATAGCATATTTGTTTTTTAGTTTGGAAAAAGGAAATCTTTTCACAAAACTATTCATATTCAAGAGTAAAACCATACTTTTTCATAGCCTATGTTTAATGTAACCTGAGGGAAGCAATTTAAAAGTCAGTAACACTCAGGTTTGGCAATGCTGTGGAAGACTTTTGACCACAACACTATTTTCCCACAACAACAACCCCACTGAGGTTACCACCATTGCATTTCACATGGAGCTACACACATTTGTTTCCCGACAGCTTCACTAGCTTGTTAAGTTAGCATGCCTTCGGTCCAAATCATAAATTAGATAAAACACTTCTTCGTGAAGATTCAACATTTCCTCACACATTTCCTTCACACAATGCAGGACCCTGTTCTCCTCAATCATCTGCAAGAGTAACAGAGGACATTCACCGAGGCCAGGTTTAAGAGCAGAGTGAGGGAGCAGATGATATAAGGTCCCTCTTCCTAATAATTTCAGGAATTTCATTATTTCCTCAGAAAATATTTGTCCAGAGTTTTTGGACATGTGTAAGGGGGGATGGGGTCAGAGGGGTTTGATGCTGAAATGATTGAGTCAGCAGTGAGTGTGAGTAGGACTTTCCTGTGGGGTCAAAATGTGTCCAATTATTTGCTAACACCTTTGTCTGAAAAATGGAAGAAAAGATGTAGACTAAGGACACTCGGAAAGACACGCTGATCAACTGCTGTGTGGGGAAAAAAACATTAACGGGCGACATTTGTTTCTGATTTTGAGGGGTTTCTTTTGAAGCACTGGTAAAGATCTGGTAGAGGTTTTGGTAAGCGGCCGCTGTAGCAGATCAATACCCAATGACTTCATCTTTAAGGTATCTGTTGCCGAAACAGTTTGGACCCCTCAAACATTCTGTCCTCCTGTCTGTCTGCTCACATTTTACTCAAAGTTCCCTGCCAATTCATTGCTTTACCCTGCCCCTGATGTTCCCTTTTTCTCTCACACCCCTCAACAATTTCCCCATCCCAAAGCTCCCTTTTTCTCCATTCTTGTCTCTCATCATACTTTTTTTTTAGAAAAAAGGAGGAAGAGAGTGAACTTAGATGAGCCACTTGGGACGTCTAGGATTTTCCATGCATTAAAACACACCACTTTTTGAACATATCCTGGGAAAGCAACCTTAAAAGACTTTACAAAAACAGAAAATTCGGGGGACGCAGAGATGTAAAGTGAGCTCAGAAAATTGATCCTGTCTACTATAAAGCATCTCTGCAGGGCATCTGTTGCAGAGAGACCCAGGGGTGCGCGAGGCCGCCCGAACTGCCATATTAATGTTTTTATATCTGATACATTTTAAATGGGGGATTATGACTTCATCCATTTACATCCACATATAATTCATATAAGCCAATAAATTTGCCTCGTATACATATGTCTGGGACAGCAAAGTTTGGAACCTGGGGTGAGCTGGCATGGCAAAGACTGTCTCACAGCCAAGAACACTTCTGAAATTGGAAGGGGCCCTCAGCTCCCTTGTCATCAAGTCGGTCAACACCACAGCCCCTAAACCCATCATTCATCTCCGGCTTTATTACTATACTTGCACTCTCCTCTTTAACCTTCCAGCTTAGTCCTCTGATTACCCTTCAACTTCCAAGGACGACACGTGCAAGAGAGAGCCATCGTTAAGTTTTAAGAAGCACAATTTAGATCCGTACAGCATGGACTAATGGCCGATCCAAATGCTGTCTAATTCTCCCACAGAATGAGAGGTAGATGTTCCTTATGGAGTCCCACACTGAATGCAGTCCGTTTTTTTTTTCCAGAAATGTGCAGACCTCTTCATTAGCACCCTCCCTGACTTTTGAACCACCATTATTTCACTGCTGCCTTATCAGCTGAATTCCCCGGTGTGTCATAATTTTTTAAAGACCACCAGCACTATCTGGATACATATTAGGCCATCATGGCCAGATGTGACTCCCCTGCATTCCAACAATGGTGTAAGGCCCCCAACCCATAATAGTTCCTTCAGTACCCTGCCTATGCTGAATTCCAATGTCAGGCTTCCACATACATAAGAGCACAGGTGAGACTTTCTCAACAGGTGCTTTTATAAGGCTTTAAAGAGGAAGTGCCAAGTCCTGGTATTTATGCCCAAGCACACCATTATGTTTTATGGGATGGGGGCTTAAGGTTTAGGCGACCAACTGTAAAACACCCAAGTCATGGTTCTTGAAGATTAGCTCACTGCATGCAGTAAGCTAAAACACAGCAGGGAGAGAGAGTGAATGAAAGACATGAGGTGGTCCATCCATTAACCTGCCACGGTGAGAATATTGACTCAAGAGGGAGGCAGAAAGACAAAGGCTAGGGGAAAACAGATGACCTATTAGCCATTGACAATATCAGACCAAAACTCCATTTCCCAAAACCATATTGAGGAAGAAATTGATTAAATTCTTCCTTGCAAAGTTTGTGTATCTATCTTGCTGTTGTCTGGGAGGTGTTTCCAAAGTATTTTTAATTTAGGGTGCCCTCAAAAACTTCCTGATAGGCCGAGTTCCTGTATCATAGAATTGATCTTATCTCAGTCTGCTCTGAAATAACATTAATCAAAAAGCTTATTAAGAGCACTGTTTGTTTTCTACCCCCAATACAAAGATTGAGTAAATTCTTACTGTACAAAAAAATAAATACAATTTCAGTTATCTTCAACTCCCGGCATATGAAAGCTGTATAATAAATCAGATTGTATCAAGTACCACCAAAACCATAAGATGTATCAAAACCAAGGGTTGTGAAAACAATGCGAAGTGTTTTCTTCATCCAGATGTGAACAGAGGGAAGAATAAGGGTTTAGGGTGATTATCAATGGTATTTTCAGACGGACCACAGAGCTGCCTTTGTCATCCATTTGCCAGATTTTTTTAAAGCATTAGATGTAAGTGGTAACAGGCACAAAGGCTGCAAAAATAAATGCAGGACCTCTAAAGCATTGTTCTTCTGCATACGCAGAGCGCTGTTCATCCAGAATTCCATAATTAAGGAGGAATGTCAAACTGTTTGTAGTGTAGCTCCCTGCAAGTCTCTCCAGACATACAATAATCAAAGCAAAATAAGCAACCACTTAGAGAGATTATATCTATTTTCGGACTAAGAAGTCTCCTGTCTGTTTTTTTTCTCACTCTTGCTGGTTTCCCTCCTTTCACAAGCCCATCTTTCAAATGCCCACAGGGAGGTTCAAACTCTGCAGAGGCATATATTTCACCCATTGCTAATGTCTAAACGAAGTCGCTAGTTGTCATTTGATGAATGAGCCTCTAATGATGACTAACTTGGAATAGATTTGGTGGTAATTGAGATATGGAAGCAATGGTAAACCCACTTGCTTTTCCTTCTGTTGTTGTTGATTAGATGCCATTATTAGCTGTTTGGTAATTAATTTTTAACAACAGGATAGTGCCAAACTGCACTTCTAGCTTGATTGAGGTTGAAAACACCCTCACTTTTTTAGTCATGCTATCAGAAAATGTGCAAACTGTCCAACGATCTAGACATCTTTCTCTATTTAATTTGTCCTCATATGACAGTGAAAAAATGCTGACAAACAGTGGTAACTGTTGTCCTTCTTTTAAGGCCCATAAAGACCCCCTGTGTCGTCCACAAAAATGTCTCACTTTACTGTGTTGAGATTCAGTGTACCAAGAGACAAACAATCCTGTTATTGGGGGTTTGGCACAAACCTTATTACAGCACATTCCAGAGATTTGTTCCCTTTGCCAGCCTTTACTCATCATGTACTAACCTCAATGTAGTTACCACAACAACAAAAATATTCCTGCATTGGCGATGGCGTCTGTATAGCCCTTAGCTGACCATAAAAGATCACTTCACCTTCTTTTTTTTTCTCTGCATGGCACCCTGACATCCCCAACACTGGTTCATTCACATGCAAGCTCCTTGCTATGTTTTTCCCAGAAAATATTTTCAAGTAGCCATGCTTTAAGACTCAACAACTGTCTCCCTAGGACATATTTTTTTAGAAACAGCCACACCAGCCTCTGTTTTTTTTACCTCAAACTGCCCATATAGTGTGTTTAGCTTGTCAATCCTTTTAAGCCAACTAATTAAGACCACTAGGTATAGGACACATACGAAAGAAAAAACGTGGGGAGAATATTTGAAAACTGGATGCAAAAATTAGCGTTCTTTGGCCATGACATTTGCTTCCAAGAAGTCATCTACTTGCGTTTGTTTTTTATAAGTGCGGAACACTGATTGAACCAGGCCAAGGGTAGATTGGACTGGCTGCCCCCTGAGGGTTTCCCAGGCCACACAAGCTGAGTGTTGGGTTACACTCAGCCTCAGCCCAAATTGTCAGGAAACAGTAGGGCTAGACAATTTAAAAAATGATAACAGAATTCAGTGACACATGTATGGAAAGAGTTGCTGTTTGATTTAAGGAAGGCATGTGAGGTTTTACTGTAGAGGTGGTTTACCAAGATTAGTTCACCATGTCAGCCAAAAAGATTAATCAAGAGGCACTGCAGGTTGTGGTTGATTAAAGCTTTTGTGGGATGAAGTACTTTTTTAAATGTATCTATTTACCAGAAGCCTTTCAAAAAGAAGAATTTGGTAATACAATACAAAATGTGAAGAGAGGGATCTTACTTGTGTGGAGAGGAGCGGTTGAAGCATGTCTTGGTCACATCCGTCACATTGGGGTTACAGCAGTCGCCATTATCATAGGAGAAGTTTTCCCAGTTACATTCAGGGTCACACACACCGTTTCCCCTCTTCTGCTCAGGACAGCGGCTCCGATACCCGGACATGCAGTCACCTGCATCATAGCCGGTCAGCGGATGGTTGCATTCTGGATCACATACATCATCGCCAACTCTGCTAATATCACAGTTTGCAAGAATCAAGCGGTTGCGTAAGGAGGAATTGGTCACGTTATGAATGCTGAGCTCCCAGGTAATGTTGTAGCGGCTAAAGGCATCGTTAAGCTGTTGGTGCTGCAGAAGGATTTGGTGGTCTGACACAGTTGGCTTTGTTTTTGCGTCATCCCAAACATTGATGACACGATATTGCACTTTCTTTGGTCGGCGGAAGGTCCAAAGCTGATTGTAGTTTTCAATGACCTCGACATTATCACACACGGTTTGGCCACAAGCTGGTGGATCCAGTGCTGTGTCCAGGAATCCTTCAGCGTTTCCAGCTCCAACGCTGCCCATGATGCCTTGTCGTTCCCCCCCTGCTCTCTCAGGCCGTGGGAAACTACCATCTTTTACAGTTAGCCACTTGCGGCCGGGGTGCTCGAACGTTTCACGAATGACCAGCTGAGGTAGATCTTGGGGATCCTCGTGGCCCTGCATGTCCCTGATGATATCCCTCTGACCTCGCGCCTGCCTCCAGAGACCCACCCGTTCCACCGCCCCCCTGTAATTGTGATTCAGGGCATTCCCCCCGATCATCAGCACTTTGCACTTTTTGGTCAGATGACTGAAGACGTCACCAGACTGCTCCCGACTGGCTCCAACTTGGGCCCCATTGATGAAGAACCTCATGTACACGCCATCATACGTTACTGCCACGTGTGCCCAGTGGTTGGGTGTGTAACGCGCGTTGGAATGTATGGAGGTCACTTTGTGGGCCCGATCCGTTTTGAGAGAGAAGAAGAAGCGAGGGTCCCGGTTCCCATGTTCACTGACTGCCTTGATGCCCAGCAGCCAGCCTCGGTCACTGGAGGCATAGAAGCATTTGTCAAACAGTCCTGAGGAGAGAATGAACAAAAATAAATCAACATGTGAGTACCTTCGTGATCCATATTAATTGTGGATGTGAAAAGGAAAGAAAAGAAAAGTATTATCAGAACATTTTGAAACACTGCACATTTATTAAATTGGAGTACACTTTGTAGATTAAAGCTCATTACAAGTCTGTTCAGTGGAAGTTGTAATATTCACACTTTTATTTATTTGAAGTGCTAATCACAATCTTTGGGTTCACATAATTTAAATTTTTCTGGAATACTCTGAGATCTTTTTCTTTAGGGGCACAAACAATGTTGGTGAGATTAGGTAGCAAATATATTTTTAAAATCTTTAAATACATAAGGGTATATTGTCCAAGAAATAGGGTTAAAGTGCATGTTTGTCTAAAGGAGACCCAATAGAAATGTTTTTTTCACGAACATTGAGCACATTTAAAGTATTTAGTGTAAACCTCCCTTGCCAGTGGGGTAGCCAGCAAAGGCTAGTTTTCTGCTCAAGCCCTGTTTTCGTAGAGGCACCGAAACACCTTTTTCCTGTTTCCCTTGGACTGTGTATGTCAGCTTCAGGATGGTAATGTGTTTTCACTTCTTAGGGGATCTCTGAATGCTAACTGTTTGTTTGTTTAGTGCATGTCGAGGTACGTGTGCACAGGCACACGAGTTCACATCAAGGTATGTGCAACTGCTAATGCAGGCTCATGACTCTGTGCAAACGATCCTGTCAACGTGTGCAAAGATTCCGGGGCACTTTGAAACGCCTTACAACCTCCACTTCAGCGTGTGCAAATCCGTGTGTGCACAGGTGATAGAGCTGGACTGCACTCTTCAAGCACTTCATGGCTTTCAGGCAATTATACTCATCCACAAAGAGACACTCAATCTATGACCCGCACACCCAGCCCCTCAAGGGTATGAAGTGTCTTTTGCAGTTGCTATCAGGGTCAGTGCTTCAGATTCTTGTAAATACTCCACAGATTTGTTTCCGCTACTCTGCATATAACGTGACAGCTGATTATCATAGTGATGATCGCATGTGCGCCTTGAATATGCGTCGACTCAAATGTCTTTGTTCTCCATCGATTAGACTACCTGAACCAGCAGTAAGTGGCCGGCTAATGGTGATTGCGCAGACATCTCGCTAACTTTGACCCGTTCATAATTAGATGCACACTGCAGTTCACATTCATTAACTCAGTGTTTCAATGGACTGACGTTCAAAGCGTGAGGCTTTGGGTTCAGCATCAAGGTCAGTCCTCTGGCGGGTGACGTTTTCAGGCTTTCCACTACACTGAAAGGAAAAATTCTTCCATCTGTCAGCTAGTGCACTCAAAGCTAAAAGGTGTGCTAAAATGCTCGTAGGGTTCCCAGTGTAAACAGCTGTCATAATTCTGCCATGCTCAATTAATCTAACACACTACACTTTTCCAGACCTAACACTGTGACTGCTCGGGCTCACACAAACACACCCACAAACACACACACACACACACACATATGCACCTACTTATGAAGACAAGCATATATATACATTCTCATGAACAAATACACACGCCCATGTGAGCTGATAAATCGAAGCACACGTTTGTGTTCACACAGAGTGCACGAGCGCTGTTCCTGTCAGGTTCAAAAGCAACCTTCCTAGCTTTTGCCATTTGTCTACTTCCATGAAAACACACTCAAGAAAAAAAAAGGAAAGAGTAAAAGAGAAGAAGAAAAAAAACACACACACTCAAAGAAAAATTTCACATGGACTTGATAAAAAGCAGGGAGGAAAGGAACAATGAAGACTCCGTTTACATTTGAACTGCTCTGGCTCAGATAAGTCAAGAAAGGCACTTTTCATGGTCATACCAGTAAAAATTTCCGCAAGTAGACCGGAAAATTCCATTGATACTTTAAAAGCAAACATGATGGAAATAACAAAGATATCACTCTGTAAAAAAAACATAAATGTCATCCCAACACTTTGTACATATGACTTAGCTTTTAACCTTTACCATTAAGTAGAAGATTCCAGATAAAATTACTCAAACATAACCATCCAAAAGTTGAACATTACTTTTTTTTTTTAAACCAGATGACTTTGAATAAAACCACTTCTCCACTGTTTTTTATACTTTGACCCCTTTATCTCAAGAAATTTAACCATCAAATTCAAGGACACTCATGAGCATTTTGCGGTGATCAACAAACTTCCTTGATACAATTATTAAGGTACAATAAAGCACTTAACGCACACCTGTCAGAATGCTTCAATCTAAGAGGAAATGTTATTCTTTGGCTTTAATCCCTCTTCAAACTCGAGCCGCTTATTATTGGTTATGATCTTAAAATGACTAAGTATCACAGTTAGAGTTACAAAAGGATAATCCTGATGCTGTTTTGGTGAACAGACACAATAGAACTGTATCTGAATGTTTTTATGTGTTACATCATGCTGGGTTACTGCAGTGAGATATATCTATTATCGAAGCAATTATCTGCCAACGTCTGCATGTAATTGCTTCCAGCAGGTCATGGAAGAGTACCTTTATTTCTTTTGTGATTTATTTTCCTCTTGCTTTGATGCGGGACAACCCAGCATGACCCGGATACAAGGGCTAATAGGGCACAACAGAGTTTGCATAACATTTGGACACAGAACTTGATGTACTGATAGTGTGATTATAGGTGATGGTGGTGGTGAGAATAAATGTGTTTCTGAATGTGTGTTATTGTATATTTTATTCTCGTGATTTTAAACTGGGTATCAGTGCTCAAGGAATCAGGCAGTCCTACTCTGGCGAGATAACAAAATGGAAAACTGCCATTTTTAGGCCAACAGAAGTAAACTTAGAAGCAGCAGGACAGGTTAGTGTTTGCTAACACAAGTTTGATTTTCACTCAAGATTGAAAGTCTGTCCTCCAAAACATGTTTATGGAAGAGTGCCATAAACAAAACAATCAAAGACGTTTCCTGAGATCTCAAAAAAGATTTACAGATGTTCACTTGAAAATGAAAAAGTTACAAAACCATGTCTGAAGAGTTTTAACAGCACAAGTCCACAGTCAGACAGTTTATATACAAATGGTGGAAAATCAGGATCACTTTCATGCTCATCGGGAGTATCAAAGTAATAGAATTATGTCTACAAATCAGGAAAATCCCAGAAAATTAAAATCTTATTACTGGATTTTGGTTAAAATCATAAGGTATTATTATCTTTTTTTTTTAATAGAAAGAATAAAAACACAGTACAAAAACATAGTACAAATCCCCTGGACTTGCTGCATCTGTCAGCCTGTAAAAGATGGAACAATGAATCCTGAATCCCAGTATAAACAAAATTTGTTTTTTTAAATGTCAGAGCATCTTTCCATGAACTAAATCTCACAGGAATACGGCTCATGAATCATAACAACTTGTAGTAACCACTTGTTCTATAAACAGTGATAAACTATTACTAAAACTGATACTTTTCGACTGGCGATATAAACTTCTGACGTTCCCAAACTACTGTATTGGGAAAGATTTAGAAGCGACAAACTCACAAACATCCTTAGGTTGTTTTGTGTGTAGGAATGGATTCAAATTCCTTGTTTGTGATGTGTGGGATCAATCAATACTTAACAAAAACCTGATTCCATTGACCACCTATTGCTGTAAAATGGGGTTAAACTAGAGCCCGCATGCAACTCCTCAACAATATATTGACCAACTGTATACGAATCGCCTCTTTTGTTCAGCACAATCTCAGAACATGTTAAAGTCATTTTGGTCCAGGGTGCCAAATTTCACAGTTATTCCATAAGGATTAAAGATTTGGGAAATTATCATACTGTCTTGGTTAAAAAAAACATTGCAAACAGAGGTTTACAGGTTTTTGATATCGTTAAAAAGTCACCATTATAGAAGCATTGTTAGATGACAAGATCCAAAAATGTTACATTTGCAGATTTTAGCATGGTTATGGATTGAACACTGAAACGATATAGCTCAAATACAGCATGTTCAAAAATGCTCGTGTGGGTACAGGAAGGGGTAGTATGTGGTGTTATTCTGTGAACTGTTGTCACACCACAGTACCATGTTTAAGTTCCATATGAACAAATATACAAGGTTGTGTCATAGAGCACTAAGGTTACTTTGATGTCTCAAATCTGCTGACTTTGTTATGATATCACATTTTGAACAAGAGACCAAATAAAGCTATCTGACATTTTCTGTCAGACTTAATGTAAATTGCAGTAAACCAAACCAGTAACCAGAGAATACATTAATATAACTTTAACAATTAGCCATTTACACATTCTCGTCATCATATAAGCTTTCACTCGTGTTTGTCAGAGAAGCTGTTTAAAACTGGAGTAGTTTACAAAATTGGTCCTGCATTCAACCTTAAAGCAAACCTCTCAGAAAACAGCGCTGTACAACAAACCACACAGAAAACAGCACTGTGAGGCAACATGTGACAAAAAGGGAGAAACTGAACTCTGGAAGGGACAAAAAGAATGAGAAAGAAACAGAGACATAAACAGAGACAATGGTGGTCAAAAACAACACTGTTGGGGGGGAAAAAAAGGGGGGGGGGGGGGGGGGGGGGCAAACAGCTGCTGCAAATAACACCGTGCTTGGATCAAAACAAGGGGATGGAGCATTTTTTGAGGCACTGAGATTTTTGTGGTCTGAATTAGATTTATAAGATTAGGCTGTATTGACTTTGTTTGATGGTCATATTTGTTGTCTTTAGGTCTCCTCTCTGGAACACTGACAGCACTAAATCTTAAAAATGAACACATTAGATTATACATGAATTGTAATCTCTTGGGAGGAGCCAGTGCAAAGTGGAGAGAGAGGGGGGGGGGG